TTATTATAAGAGTAAAAATACTAATTCTGTATGCAAACTACCTCATTTACAAACTCCAATTAAGGGTAAATATACTTAATATAAGTAATTTTTTACCTATTTTTAGATCGTTTTTCCAGTGTAAAGAGTACTATTGTTAGCTCAGCCTGTTGACTCTTAGTAAGGTATGGTCACTGACTGAAAAAAAGGTGTTTTGGTCTTAAAATGTACCTTTGCACTTGTTATTGGAGGATTCATGACTCACATCACTTAAAAGCTGAGTATTTGTGTTTTTATGTCAGATAAATGTTAGTAGGAATTGACTTCTTCCCACTCTAAGTGTTGTTCTACTTGTCCACAGTTCCCAGGGTCACCCGCACAGCTCCCTTCTCTCCTGGTAAGACCATTACCGTCCTGCAGTCTCTTTTTGCTGATGCCTTTCACCTCAAATGCTGTTTTCTGTTTCACCGTTCACGTTTTTTCACCAGCATCTGTATGTGACAATGAAGGCACGGAGAGAAGGCCATGCATTATTTACAGGCCTTCCACTCCGTGCCTGCCTTTAGCTTGCATGCAGATCTTTAGGTTAGCCTTTGGCTCTTATTAAATATTCTGTTTGATTTTAGTGTGGAAAAAAAAAATCTTAACACCAGCAAATCCAGGCACAGGCGGTCCTTCGGATCAAACGCGCTGCGGCGGTGAAATATTATTTGTTTATCTCAGAATTTTTTTAAGTAAACAAAAATATGCAAAGTGGATAAAAAAAAAAAAACATCCAGACATTAATCCTTTTTTTATGGCAGGGTTTACCTTCCAGTTTAATTTACTCTTCATCTTTGAGTGGGACATAATTATCGGGCAGTTTTCTGACTTAATCTGGGCTGTAAATTTTTCATCGTTAAATCTTTGCAGAACTCTGGGGAAAACACGGAGACTCATAAATAAAAAGAACAGAGGAAAATCTGTAAAATCTAAACTCAAATGCTCCAAAGAATTTACAGCTTTCCTTCCAGTTTACAGTGGTAATAAACCAGTGGAGTCAGAATGAATTACTCCATCAACACTGCAATAAAATCTATTAATGTGTTTCTCGCTTTTTGGGAAGAAAAAATATCTAGAAATTAATCCAATTATAAAAAAAAACCAGAGGATGGTTTATCGACTAGCTGAAGACTGTTATAAGGACTTTATGATAAAAATCCTGGATTTAATGAGCAAGAAAATACCAGAAAACATATTTTAGTTTGCTTCTTGTCAGGTTTTACTTTAACAGTTAGAATCTGCAGAAAGAGGCTGATTTGAGGCTTTTGCTGCAAAAGCAAAACTTATTTTTTCCTCTGCTGCTTTTAAAATAATTTCCTCCATATAAAGCTCCTTGATAAAGTCTGGATTAGGGCCGAGTAGTGATGGTTATTCAGGCATCTTGAAGCGTTTCGACTCGTTGCCAAACTGTATTCACAACAAAAAATGCCTTCTAAAAAAATAAGAAAAAAATAGTGTTTTAAGTGAATAATTGCTTATTTTAAGCAAAATAATCTGCCAGTGCAGAAAGCAGATGAGACTTGCTAAGATTTCTTAAAACAAGAACATAATATCCAAGTAGTAAGCATCCAAAAAAACTTAAATCAAGTAGAAAAAGCTATTTCTTCTTTTACTTGTTAAGATTTTTTCTCTTATTTTAAGCAATTTATTTTCATTTATTAGTCATTATTGCTTAGAATTAAATGTCCTCTAATCAATTATTGCTCAAAACAAGCAAACAACAGGCTTAAAAACAGGGCAAATGTACTTGATACCAGTTTATTTAAAGGCTTAAAACTAGTCTGTTTTTCTTAGCTAGAATTAATTTCATTATTTAGGTGTAGTGAATGTATGACAAAAACTTACAAAACGTTTTTTTATTAATATTTTAGCAAAAATGTCACAGAATTAAGCGAAATACATTAACCAAAATGCTTAATTCAAGTTTATTACACTTGTATAGATTTTTTGCAGCGTTGATGCTGCGTTACTGTCTCATAGAATACTGACACCTGCTGGACATTTAAAGACACTACAGGCAGTTTATTTGACAGAGTAAACTGAATCGATTTAATGACCTATTACCCTCAGGGGCGGAGCTAGATGGGGGCCGGGGTGGCCATGGCTACCCTTAGTCAATCATTTGCCACCCCTACCATTTTCACCCCTGTAATACAGAAATATTTCAGTTAGTGTGCAATGATTGATTGATTGATTTTATTATTACAGACTCAAGGTCCAATATACATTAAAAGAAAACAGATACACTAAGAATAAAA